TTACCAGGGCCGCTAACCTTCCAGTCTCATTGATTAGAAGTGTGGCAATGAACTCACCAAGCTTCAAAGTAGTCTGGGAAAAAAAGTATCTGTTTTTTTAAATCTCAAATGTAGAAGAAGGATAAGGAAGAAGAGTCGTAGGGAAGGCATTATGGTATCCAATAATAAACAAGATCTGCCACAAATTTTTTCTGCGTTTAATATTAATTTTATATTTCACCTATGTGGAGAACTCACAAAGGATTGCTAGGCAATGCCATTAAGGTTTTACTTTTTGTCAGATGGGCATGTTCAGAGTTGAGTTTTATTCAATTCACCTTGTCCGCTATTTTTAGGAAATAAAATTACACTGAAAGTTGACGTGTATAACCATGTTGTAAAATTCAGATTTTGCTGATTTTTTCTTTCTCTTTTATTTTCCATGTTTCACCTTCAAGTTTTAGTCTTTTTTTTTTTTTTTGTGAGGAAGATCAGCCCTGAGCTAACATCCGTGCTAATCCTCCTCTTTTTGCTGAGGAAGACCGGCTCTGAGCTAACATCTATTGCCAATCCTCCTCCTTTTGTTTTTTGTTCCCCCCGAAGCCCCAGTAGATAGTTGTATGTCGTAGTTGCACATCCTTCTAGTTGCTGCATGTGGGACGCAGCCTCAGCATGGCCGGAGAAGCAGTGCGTTGGTGCACATGCGGATCAGAACCCGGGCCGCCAGTAGCGGAGCGCGTACACTTAACCGCTAAGCCACGGGCCGGCCCTCAAGTTTTATTCTTTAGAGTATTTTCTACCAAAAGAAAGGTTGTTAGTGTGTTGCAGTGAAACTAGCACATTGAATTATCAAGCAATGTGCTCTCAAATAAAGTTTACTTGAAATCCTATGTCAAATTTTAAATTTAATAATATACATAACTACAGTAATAACAAAAGCTAGGTTTAACTTGCTCTCTTCTCAAGCACTGTTAACCCAAAGTACGTTAATAAAAAATGTTTTCATGATCAGAAGCCAATTTTTTAAAGCATTTGCTGATCACTGTTGTGAATAAATTACTAGGGGTCATAGCTACACTTCACAGTGAAGTAAGTACATTTATTACACTTTTCTCAGCAATAACTTTCATTGGAATATTTTACGTTACTTTTTTTCTCCTCATTCACTATTCACTATTTTTCTACTCATTTGTCTTTAAAATTGGAGAATGTCTATATTCATCAATATTAGGTTTTTTTGGACTTAGAATAATTCCACTACTGATATCTGCCAACTAAATCTTGGCTCTTTCTTTTGAAGAGTTGTTCTTCAATTCTGTTGGAGTTGGTAACCAGCAAGCCTTCTGCTTTGTATGCCGTTATTGCTTAAATCATGATCTAAGGTAGAATTCTCATTCTACTTCAGGAAATAGAAAAGTCCCCCAAGGGCCAGCCCCGTGGCTTAGCGGTTAAGTGCGCGCGCTCCGCTACTGGCGGCCCGGGTTTGGATCCCGGGCGCGCACCGACGCACCGCTTGTCCGGCCATGCTGAGGCTGCGTCCCACATACAGCAACTAGAAGGATGTGCAACTATGACGTACAACTATCCACTGGGGCTTTGGGGAAAAAAATAAATAAATAAAATTATAAAAAAAAAAAAAAGTCCCCCAAATCTCTCAATTTCTATATTATACAATGTTTTCTTGCTAGTACACACAGGGTTTTCTTAAAAGCTATTATATATGTACAGTTTAATAGCTAAAATTATTTTGAAATATTCTTTCTTCAAAAATACAATTAATATGGCTCATTCCAAATAAGTGCTTTTCTTTACTCAATGAATTTAATGCAAGTTCAATATATTAAAATTAAAATAATTGTGTTAATAAAGAGATTGCTAATGCTCCGTTCACTGTGGTATCAGAATGTTAGCAATACTCATTGCAGCAAAAAGGCAACGCTTCAATCTGTTCTGACACCGTATAATCGTTTGCATTGCATTTGATCACACAGTAGAAAGATAGTCATCTTGCAAAATTGCACCAAAAAGTACATTCTATCCCTAGAAACACTAGGAGCTCTCAGTAATTTGAGCTGGCTGAGGGGCAAGTACATATAATGTAAATACATCAGTCAGGTTAATGCAAGGAGCACTCTTTCATTTGGTAACATTTAAAATGCATGTCTGAAATGCAGAAACATAATTAAGGCAAATGAGTATAGCATGTTAATATTCCAATCTAGAATAGGAAAAATTTTGCAGATTTCTGCAACTTTTACTAATGACTGGAAAGAAAGTCAAATTGTTTGGACAAATGAGATGTTTCATTTCAGACTAAGGCAGGGTTTCTTAAGTTCATCATGACTGACGTTTTGGACTGGATGCTTCTCGGTTGTGGGGGGCCATCCTGTGCACTGTAGGATATTTAACTGCATCTCTAGCATATTCACTAGTTGCCAATAGCATCCCCCAAGTCCTGACGTTAAAAAATGTCTGTGACATTGCCAAATGTCACCTGGAGGGCAAAATTGCCCCTAGTTAAGAACCACTGGACTAATGGTTGAGTCAAATTATTTAGATATGTTGGTCAATTTGGACATTTGAACGTTATGGGACATGTTAATAATAATAGGTTTTGGGTACTATGGATATGGCAAATATTAGTTTAGTTATTATTTGTCAAGAAAAAAATTTTTAATTAAACACATTCTATGCCACATACAAGATAAATGAGAGAAACAGTTCTAGTACTCACAAAGTTTCTATTTGGAGAACAGAATGGTTAAAAAAGTATTCTTAGAAGTGTGTTTCTAAACAATCACCTTATCATTACTGGACAAAACAAGATCACTACATGTATAAAAACCTGATACTTCTACCTATTATATCGATAACTCCTTTTTTCAAATTATCTAGACCACAGCTGTCTTTAATATTTTTCATATAGAATTCAAAGTGTCCACAAATTGTTTTTTTAATTTACTCTTTTCTCAGAGCTCTGTTTCTCTGTCTGCTTATGGTTTAAATCAAGACCAATAGGAAGTCTATGTCTGAGTCAAAGCACAGCTAGATATTTTGATGGAGAGAGTTTGCTTTGGCATGAAATGCTGCTGTTTGTTTGTAAACCTCTCTGTGTATGTAATTTGACAGCATTTTTAGACTCCCCAGTTAATGAGGTTAGCAGCAGCCTCTATCCCCTGGGCCTAGTCAATTTGATACCATCTCTGTGTATGTTGTCATAATTGTGTTGACTTCATTTGCTTTATTGGGAAAATAAAAATCAGATTCTTCAAGTTGTAAGGAAATAAAATTCCTTGCTTATCCTCCTCCAGTTTCTCCTATCCATATACAGGTAGCAGATTGCTGACTACTTGCTACATCTCCATAAAAAAAATATGTTGAATAGATGGAAATATTAATTAGTATTTCCTTTTGAAAGATCTAGATATTTGGATAGATATATTTCTTTCCAAAAGTCACATATTTTCCATGCTAGTACCAACCTCAGTATAAAAGCATAATTATATAATGAAATGGAGCAGCATTTATGTTAACTTGATAATTGTAATTGCACTAGACTGTGAGTGCTCATGGGATAAAACAGAGGAGGCAGGAAGGATTGGATCATTGTTAATTCTACACTATGTATTTCTTCTTCAACAGACATAATTTTACCCATACAATCTTTTTTTTAGTGTCTTTGTTTAAGTTTTTTCAAAAGTAAGTTTACAGAATTTTACAGAAGTCAGTTTGGCTAGTTAATTAAATGTAAGTGTGAAGTTATCATGTTATTCTACAGATAAAATGAACTGCCATTTTACAAATATCTCTTTTAGTGCTATGTATTTGTCAGATTTCTCCTATTTTTGGTGATATCTAACAAATACCTCAAAATTTCAGGGGCTTACAACAAAAGGATTTTTTTTACTCAGGGCTGTGAATGGACTGGAGTGGTTCTGATTCAGGCTGTGGGTCAGGCTTTTCTCTTGATGGTTACCAGAAGCACCAGAGACCAGGCCAAATCATGGCTACTAGCATTCCATTGGCTATGGAAGTCACATGGCCAATGAATGAGCAAGGAAATAAACTCTGGCAATTCCAGTGATGGGCGTTACAACATCCAATGGTGTGGATGCACAATTCTATTAAGGAAGAGAGTGAAGAATTGGGAATTGTGTGTACCAAAAAGGGTAGAATTGTCAAAGCTGACTTACCAACTCACAAATATTACTCAACACTCACCTTTAATAATGATTGGCAAAGGATGCAAGCAAAAACTAGGCACAGATATAGCAATCCTCTCTGGAATGATCTCCCAACCTGTCAGATACGACTTCTGAAATTACATTTTTCTACGTTGGAACACATTTTGTATGCTAAGAGCCCACAATTTGTATGGCTTCTTAGATACTTAGATGCCACACTAAGGTAGAGAGACTACGTGAAAACTTATACTGTGGAATTTAGATCTCTCTTCTTTTGCATTCAATGCTATAAATTTCCCTCTAAGCATTGTTTTCACTCCATCTCACATATTTTGATAAGTTGTGTTTTTATTTTCATTTAGTTCAAAATATTTTTTAATTTATCTTGAGATTTCTTCTTTGATGCACATGTGATTTAGAAGTGTATTGTTTAATCTCCATGTCATTTGGGATTTTCTAGTTATCTTTCTGTTACTGATATCTAGTTTAATTCCATTGTGGTCTGAGAGCAAAACTGTGTGATTTCTATTCCTTTAAATTTAAGATGTGTTTTGTTGCCCTTCTATCTTGGTGAATGTTCCATATGACTTGAGAAGAATGTGTTTTCTGCTGTTGTGGGATGAAGCAGTCTATAAATGTCAATTATATCCAGTTGACTGATGGCATTGTTGAGTTCAACTATATTCTTACTGATTTTCTGCCTGCTGGATCACTCCATTTCTGAAAGAGGGATGTTGAAGTCTACAACTACTGTAGTGCATTCATGTATTTCTCCTTATAGTTCTATCAGTTTTTGTCTCATGTAGTTTGGCCCTCTCTTGTTAGGTACATACACAGTAAGGACTGTTGTGACTTCTTGGAGAATTGAAACCTTTATCGTTATGTAATGCCCTTCTTTATCCTTGAAACTTTCCTTACTTTAAAGTCTATTCTGTTTAAAATTAATATAGCTACTTCCTGCTTTCTTTTGCTTGGTATTAGCATGGTATAATTTTCTCCATCCATTTACTTTCAATCTAATGTGTATTTATATTTAAAGTGAGTTTCTTGTATACAACAAATACATAGGTTGTATTTTTTTGATCCACTTTGACAGTCTGTCTTTTAATTAGTGGATTTAGACCATTGACAATCAAAGTGATTATTGATATAATTGGATTGATATCTACCATATTTGTTACCCTTTTCTATTTGTCACGCTTATTCTTTGTTCCAATTTTTGTCTTCCACTCTTTTTCTGCCTTTTGTGGTTTTCATTGAGCATTTTACATAATTCCATTTTCTCTGCTTTGTTAGAAAAACATTATACTTATTTTTTTACTTTTTTTAGTGGTTGCCTTAGATTTAGCAATATCTCATTTATAACTAATCCAGGTTCAATAACTGTATTTCAAATAACACTGTACCACTTCATGAGTAGTATGAATCCCTTATAATACCAAAATAATCCTTATTCCTTCCTCTTTTCCCTTGTATTATTATGATTCATTTCACTTATATATAAGCATATATATATAAATATACACATAGATATATACATAAGCATACATAATCAAATACTGTTTCTATTATTATTTGAACAAACTATCTGTTAAATCAATTAAGAAAAAGAAAAATAAAATTTATTATTTTACTTTCACTTATTCTTTCTTCGATGCTCTTACTTTTTTTATATAGGTATGAGTTTCTGGTCTATATTATTTTCCTTCTCTCTAATTTGAAAATTTCTTGCAAGACAGTTTTATTGGCAACAATTTCCCTCAATTTTTGATTGTCTGATAAAGTCTTTATTTCTTTTTTTTTTTTTTTTTTTTGAGAAGTATTAGACCTGAGCTAACAGCTAACATCTGTTGCCAATCCTCCTCTTTTTGCTGAGGAAGATTGGCCCTGGGCTAACATCTGTGCCCGTCTTCCTCTACTTTATATGTGGGATGCCTGCCACTGCTTGGCTTGATAAGCCACGCGTAGGTCCATGCCCAGGATCCGAACCTGTGAACTCCGGGCAGCCGAAGTGGAGCACATGAACTTAACCACTATGCCACTGGGCTGGCCCCAATATTTCTTTCATTTTTGAAGGATAATTTCTCAGAGTACAGACTTCTAGATTGGGTTTTCTCCTCACAGCACTAAATATTTCACTCTATTCTCTTCTGGCTTGCATGGTTTCTAAGAAGTCGGATGTAATTCTTAGCTTTGTTCCTCTACAGGTAAGGTGTTTTTCTCTTCTGGCTACTTTCAGAATTTTTTCTTTATCTGATTTTCTGTAATTTGAGAATGATATGTCTAGGTGTAGTGTTTTTGGCATTTATCCTTTTTAGTGTTCTCTGAGCTTCCTGGATCTGTGATTTGGGGCCTGAAATTAATTTGGGGACAGTCTCAGTCATTATTGTTTCAAATATTTCTTCTGTTGCTTTCTATTTTTCTTCCTCTTCTAATATTCCCATTATACTTATATTACAGCGTTTGTAGTTGTCCAACAGTCCTTGGATATTTTTTTTTCAGTTTTTGTTCTCTTTGCATTTTGGTTTTTGAGGATTCTATTGATATATCTTCTAGCTCAGAGATATTTCTTCAGCCATGCCCAGTCTACTAATAAACCCATCAAAGGCATTCTTCATTTCGGTTACAGTATTTTTTATCTCTAGCATTTCATTTTGGTTCTTTCTTAGGATTTCCATCTCTCTGCTTACCTTGCCCATCTGTTCTTGCATGCTGTCTACTTTATCCATTAGAGCCCTTAGCATATTAATCATGGTTGTTTTAAATCCCTGGCCTAATAATTCTAACATCTCTGCCATGTCTGGTTCTGACACTTGCTCTGTCTCTTCAAATTGTGTTTTTTTCTTTTGGTACGCCTTATAATTTTTTCTTGATAACCAGACATGATATACTGGGTAAAAGGAACTGCTGTGAATAGGCCTTAGTGATATAGTGGTGGTGTGGGGGGAGGGGAAGCCTTCTATAGTCCTATGATTAGGTCTCAGTCTTTTAGTGAGCCTGTGCCTCTGGACTGTGAACTTCACAAGTGTTTCTCAAGTTTTTTTCTCTCACCTTGGGTGAGACAGGGTGGCTAGAGCAGGCTGGAATTGGGTGTTTCCCTTCTCCAGGTAAATCAGGCTGTGATAATACCCCAGCAAACAGGCTCTGGTTAAGTAGTTTCCCCTAATGGCAGACCTTGTTAAGAAGAACAGAGTGCTCTGGTGTATTTCAAAATGATTCCTTTTTCCCTCCCCCTGCTGAAGGCCCAAGGGGAGTTTTCTCTGACATTTACTGCAGGAACATGGTCAAGCTCCTAGAATTCAATCTCTCAACATTGTAGGGGCTCCTAGGACCGGGTCTACCCCTGGAGTTTTCCACTCTCAGAGTTGTCTGCACTGAGCCTTCAGCAATTTGTCAGTTACAGTTCAGTTTTTCCTACTCCAGCACTGGTTTCCAGTGGTTTCCACTTGTGAGTCTCTGCTCTGGTAAGCTGATAAGCTGTGATGACCTGTATTGGCCTGTTTTTCTGCAGTATTGAGGGCAGCTGTTTGCCCTGTGTCCTCCCATCTTATGGATCCAAGAAGAGTTGTTGGTTTTTCAGTATCTTCAGATTTTTACTTGTTGTTAAGACAGCAAGGTGAGTTCCAAGTTACTTACATACAGAACCAGAAACAGTAAGTCCAATATTATTTTTTTAACGGGGTTTTGTCTTATGGTTTTCCCATTAATATAACATCCAAATCTTACACACCCAAATATAAAATCCATCTTATCTTATTTGGGGAATATAATTGGGTAATGTGTTCGATTAGTGGTGGGAATTGTGGTGACTGTTATTTTCTTTTCACATTTTATCTTTATCAAAATTAAAGAAAGGGAAAGAGGAAAAAGAAGAGAAAAATAATCTACCAATTATAGATGAAGTTATCCTCAGATCCATACTCAAATCTAAAACATATTATATATTTCTGCCTCTTGTGTAATGTCTTTCTGGCTAGAAGCTGAAGATAGCAGCTGATATATTTATCAAAGATCATGATTAGAGCTAAATATGAGATGTTATCCAGAAGTTATATTCCCTCTGATGATGCGAACACAATACAAACACAAACATCACCAATCTTCTTTGATTCTAACTCCTAATATTTTACTCATTGGTCTAATCCCTTCGCTCATACTCTTCAGAAAGTGCAACTACAGTCTGTCAAAGTCACTTTAGGACTAAAAAGAGAGTATTTCTCTTACGTATGTTTTGAAATAAACCTTTAGGTAGTTTCAGAGTCAATTCAACATTTCTGTACTCTTGCAAGGGAACAAACGTAGCCATGACTCTATAAAAATATTTATCTTATTTAGAAAAGGAGACAGTTTGCATATCAGTGCTGTGTATTAATAGACATATTATTTAATAGCATGGAGATCATCACTGTCTTTAAAAGGGCAAATTAAAATTCCATGTATCTGTCAATGAAACAGCTTACTGGAAAAGAGTTTATCCTAATACAACATTATCAATCATGTTGAAGACATTACTATTCAAAATGTACAAACCCCAAAGTTATTTTAATGAGATGACTACATTCTATTTCAAGGTTCTCATTTGTAAGCAGTGATGTTTTGGCATTCCGATACTTCTTTACTTTGAAATACAAAAGTTCTTCTTGTATGACAGAAGTTGAAAAAATAGTACAATAAAATTCAACATGTGAGAAGCACTTGCAATTTGGAATTATGATGATCTCATTTTACCCTTAATTAAAAGTGGTTGACACCAAGAGGTGTATGTGTTTTCACTCACATCTGATAATTAATATTATATACCAAAGATTCTTTTTCAGTGCACAATTTGCTCCACTTTAGCCTAATCCTTAATGGATATTCCATAGGGAATTATGTGCAAAAGATACATACTTGATAACAATCAAGTTTTATAATAAACTTGAGCATTATTTATTCAGGGCTCAAATCTGTAATTAATTTCTCCTAACTCCTGATGAACAAATCTCATTTTTGATCCATTTAGATAGCCTAAACACTAATATATTCAAATATAAAGAGTGAAACATAAGAAGTGATCTTGGCTGATGCTTGGGATATGACTAATGGTAGGCTGTCAATTGCAAAAATTGCAGATCATAGTGTTCATTTTTCTAAAAAATGTTTTCCTGTTTAGGAATAAATACAATTTTATTTTATATACTTTTGCATTTCTGAAACCAATAAATGACTATCTTTTAATAGCTGCCATAATAGCTTACATTTTTCAAATATTTTACTGTTTTCAAGCTTAATGCCTATAAGCTTTAGTACCTCCATTTTGCAGATAAATGTGAGACGCAAATTTTTATTAGGAAGTTATATATCCAGGCTGCCTTCATCCCTTTGTAAGATCTTTGAGTGTAAGAATTGTATTTCCTTCACCAAAGCCCGTAGTATAGCTTCTTAATATATAGCAGCTTAAATTAAATTGAATTGTCTTTTCTCAGTGTCCCACAATATCAGCTTAAGTAACATAAGTAATATATGTATGTGTCTATATAATATATGGCATATGTTATATATTTAATATATTAAATACAACAGTATACAGTATATAACCGTATAATATTATAACATTATTATAATATGAAGAATAATACTTGAGCACCAAGATGTATATTATAACATTATTATAATATTAAAATTGTGTATTACTACCTATTCATATATTTTTCTTCTTGTATTTTTCCCATCACTGCTTACAGAGAATAAAATCAAGAATAGCAGTTTTCTATGTAATTCTCCTCTATGCATTTTCTTTTTCTGCCTTGAAATAGTAATGTAAGATGCCACCACAATGCTTTGGCTTTAAATATAAACTAATTTTATAATTTTATATATTATAATGCTAAAATTGTAATTTTGGAAATATAAGCTAATTTTATATCAGCATTCACTAGCTCCTTGCCAGGGCTTACACTC